GGGGGTTGCCAGCTTCCAGAGGGCAATGGCGACCCTCTTTTCCAGGGGGATAGCGGGCCGCAGGTGGGTGTCTTGCCGTTGCAGAGCAGGGGCGAGCCAGGTACACAGCTCCTGGAAAGTGGTCTTTCGCATCCGGAAGTTGCGTAGCCACTCTTGGTCATCCCAAAGCTCCATCACGAGCCGGTCCCACCAGTCAGAGCTGGTGTCAAGCCTCCAAGCACGCCTGTCCACAAAGAAGTTTGGAGGCAAGGGCAGTGCGGCTGCTTGACGGACGAGCCCTTCGTACCTCTTGTCTGGGTCCAGATGGGGAAGTAGCCTCATGACTGTGTCATGCAGATGCAGCAACACTTGCAGTATGATGGTGTGGGGCCATCGCCTGCCCAGGGGCAGCTCTGGCTCCATGCCAAAAAAATGGGACTCAAACAGAAAAACCTCCACAGAAAAAAGCTGCTGGGGTGTCCCAGGAAGCTGAGCACTCCAAACCAGCACTGCAATGCCTTGCTTACCTCCTAGAGGGACAGCAAAAGCAGCTGCAGAAGCAGAGCAATGGGTGTTCAGGAGTGTCCCTTTAACCACGCCACGTCTCTGCAAAGGGCAAGCAGGCAGCAGCACCCGGAAGGAAATGCTGCCCCCATGCCCTGGCAGAAGCAGTTCCGGGGGGCTTTTAATTTCGAAAGAGCGTCCAGCAGTCAGGACGCTCTTTTTCGAAAAAGCGGATCGATTTTCCGATCTGCGTATTGTAGTCTAGACGCGCTCTTTCGAAAGAGGCTCTTTCGAAAGATACTTTCAAAAGAGCCTCTTTTGAAAGAGGCTTGCAGTCTAGACATAGCCTTGGGGCCACATTAATGAGGCTTGGGGGGTTTTGGAGGGGTTGGTTTTTTGCATCTCACTGACTTTTCTGTGGGTCAGTGACTCCTGACTCAAAACAGGTTCTCCACCCCTCTCATAAATAAAAACAATGCTGAAACCTTTTGTGTTGACATAATATTTTATTTAAAAATAAAGCCTGGTCAACAAGCCCCCATTTGGGGCCAAGCCCCCATCTGACCACAGCATCATAATACTCCTGCGGCCTCCTCTCTCCCCCCGCATCCCAAATCGTAGCCTATCATACACTGGAACCCCCTATCCTGATCCTCTCACATCCCCAAATTCCTGCATCCACACATCTTTAATCTTCTGCCACAACACTCCTGCACCATCCACATACCTCAAATATCTGTGTCCTGAACCTCTTATACTCCCAATCGCCCTGCCCTGATCCCCTCACGCACCCCAACCCAAACTCCTGCACCCTCACATCCACAAGCCTGTGGCTTGCTCAGCATCCCAACCTTCCACCTGACCCCAACATTCCGCAGCCTGGAGCCAGCATCCCCTTCACCTCCTCCTGAATCCAAATTCCCTCCCAGAGCTTGCACCCCTTTCCACACCCAAATCCCTCATTCCCACCCCAGAGCCTGCACCTTCTGTCTCAACCCAGTGAAAGTGTATAAGGACTGGGGACAGCAAGGGTGTGTCTAGACTATAGGGTTTTGTCGACAAAAGTGGACTTTTGTCGACAAAACTATACCTGCGTCTACACTACCGCTGAGTTCTGTCGCCATAACGTCAACAGAACTCAGCAGTTTGTTGACGCTGATAAACCTCATTTTACGAGGCATAACGCCTTCTGTCGACAGAGTTCTGTCGACAGAAGGTGTTATTGCATGTAAACTGTCCTTTGCGTCTACACTACCATGTCGACAAAGCAACTTGCTTTGTCGACAGAACTGAATGTAGTCTAGGCGCTCTTTGTCAACAGAAGTTTTGTCGACAGTATCTGTCGACAAAACTTCTGTTGACAGAAGCCTGTAGTCTAGATGTACACCAAGTGATGGTGAGGAGGGGAACAGAGAGGGCGGGGCCTCAAGGAAGGGGTGGGGTCTTGGCTTGTCCTGACATTTGAAAAGTGATCTTGGGTGTAGAAAGACTGAAGACCACTGGTTTAATGCTTTGGTTATGCTGCCATCTAGTGGACCTTCAAAATAAACATAAAATGTTTTCAAATTACATTTCCAAATGCACACATTTATGCAATAGACCAAAAGTGCTCCTTCAAGGAGCCTGGCTAGTTCGTGTGCTAGGCATCTGACTCTTAATTTGAGGGTCAAGGGTTTAGAGTCCCTGGTCGAGTAATAGCACTTCTTCCCTCTTTCTAGCAGGGGAGGTTTATGTTGGAGAGAGCTATGATAGGCTCTGTTGGACAGTTTACCCCAGAAAGGGTCTGTTTTGTGTGTTTGTTTCCCAGGTGGCCTTGTTTGGGGGGCTGAGTCACTGAAAACCTACCTGGGTCAATAGCTGCCAGCCTGGGTCATCACAAATAGCCTAGCACAGCAGGCCAGTAGCCACAGACACACCTCCAATTGGCATGGTGCTCGTGAGAGGCAATGAGCCCTATTGCAGGAGGTCATCAATTTCCTCTTTTTATATAGAGGAGGAAGCTGAGGAACAGGGAAGCAAAGTAACTTCCCCACATCACCCAACCAGAATAGATCCCAGATCCCAGGAGAGGCTGTTTAGTCTGCAGAAGCGAAGAGTGAGGGGGGATTTGATAGCAGCCTTCAATTTCCTGAAGGGAGGTTCCAAAGAGGATGGAGAGAGGCTGTTCTCAGTAGTGACAGATGGCAGAACAAGGAGCAATGGTCTCAAGTTGTGGTGGGAGAGGTCCAGGTTGGATATTAGGAAAAACTATTTCACTAGGAGGGTGGTGAAGCACTGGAATGGGTTACCTAGGGAAGTAGTGGAGTCTCCATCCCTAGAGGTTTATAAGTCTCGGCTTGACAAAGCCCTGGCCGGGTTGATTTGGGAGCCTGGCGGGGATGTGGGAGCGACTGGGAGGCAGGGCGCGATTGGTGCTGGGAGCCTGTGGTCGTGTGCAAAAGCCAGGTGGGGCGGGGACTGGGACTCCCAGCCCCTCCCCCCGCCCGGCTTCTGCTTGCAACTAAAGGGAGCAGCTGCTGTGGGC